CCCAGGCCCCCAACGCTCATTCCTGCAACTGCACCTCCCTGCTCACACCTCGCCTTGCCCCAATGGGGCAGCCTCACCAGCCATGACCAGCAACAGACCGCCACCTCCTCTGCTTCCCTTGAAGTCTCTGCCCTGCGCTGCCCCACACCTTCGCCGCTCATTGGGGAGGAACCGGAGCTCAAACTATTTGAATAACAAAATAATCTGCATTTTGTCCAGAGTCCAGCAGCTCGCTGGCTGGCCGGCTGGCTGCCTGGCTGCTGAGAATATACAAGTTTTTAAAAAGTAGATGTGAAAAAAAGTATGGGCAAAGCCTTGGTAGATATTAGAACTCACAGCAGAGATTGTATCATGTATTTTTGTGGCTTGGGTTGTGCTGGGTTAGGCTGGGTTGAGAGACAGTGACTGGCCCAAAGACACCCAGTCAGCTTCCAATATCTAAGACAAGATTACAACCAGGGGTGGGATTCTCCCGGTTTGGACCAATTCGGAGGAACCCCTAGCTCTGAAGATCAGCTGGCAGCAAACTGACGATCACACCCATCCACCCCTGCACTGTACTTACCTATATCCTCCCAGCTGATTCGCACGGCAGAGCGGATTGCTGCTCCTCAGCTGTGTTATTCCCCAGTAGTAACATCGCAGGTAAGTTTTTTCAGAATGCTGTTCAGGCACATGCACACAACGATTCACACGATCACCGAACCAGTTGTTACACCAGTAGCATCCCACCATTGACTACAGCTCACAGTCTCCTAGTTTCTAGGCGAGCACCTGAACCATGACACCAAATAGCAGCAATGTAGACACCAAATCTAAGAAGTTATATCTTATTCTCATTCTGTAAAATCTTATGGAGACCAATTAGAAATTATCGCACATGTGTGCACATCTTGTGATTTCCTGTATAAAAATGCATTTCTAAATTGCTTTAGGGGAACAAAGCTATATTACTTCCTGGGGAGTTTTAAATAGCAATAGCACTTAGACTTATATACCACTTTATAGTGCTTTACAGCCTTCTCTTAGCGGTTTACAGAGTCAGCATATTGTCCCCAACAATTTGGGTCCTCATTTTATCCAATGTAGAAGGATGGAAGGCTGAATCAACCTTGAGCCTGGTGATATTCGATCTGCCAAATTGCAGGTAACTGACTGCAACAGAAGTAGCTTGCAGTACGGCACTCTAACCACTGCACCACCACTGCGCAATAAGGAGCATGGAGCCCTATCAGTTTTTATGAGCCCCAACTAAAGATAATTGATATACACAAGAGCTCACTACAGCTTGCATAAAGTTAGTGGTTGCTAGAATACTGAGATGTCCCCAAAACCATTATTTCCAATGCTGAGTAGTGATTTAATTTTAGATTATTGGCTTGCACTGGATCCCAGCTTCTGTTCAGGTGCAAATCAAAGTGTTGATTATCCCCTTTAAATCCCTACATGGCATGGGGCCAGGACTGCTTCTCCCTGAGGATATCTGCTCACCCACCAGATCAGAGTGGGAATGCTCTAGGTGCCTTCCCTTAAATCTTGCCATCTAGGTGGCTTAGGAAGTGTGTCTTTTCCATAGCTCTGTGGAAGACCCTTCCCCTAGCAATCCAATGCACCCCCATTCTTTTAGCCTTTTCAAATGTCATAAAGAATTGGGTGTTCCCCAGGGTGCTGGGTTAGAATTAGGGTATTTGAGCTTGGCTGTTGGGAACAGTCCAGGAGGATGGCTGAGGTATTTGCATCTTTCTTTTATGGGGTTTTATTTTTTGAGGAGGGGGTGGGATAATGGGCCACCTTGCTCTAAGACAGGTAGCCATACAAATCTTTTAAATAAATAAATAAAGTCTTGATATTTTATCTGTTCTTAGGGGGTGAGACTGAGTTGCCTAGATTCATTGTTTTATAACATTTTCACTGATTGCAACACTGCCCACAATGAATAAATCAATTCACTTAAAAGCACTTTAATTTTATTTTCAAAGAAATATTTTATTTTATTATGTCTGCAATGTTCTTTCTGTGTGAAAGGGATGCCTCTTCTATTATGCTTGTTTAAGTGTATCTTCTGTTTTTTTTTAAGTATGGGTTTTTAAATGATAAATTAGAAACTGACATTCTAACCATGATTTTCAGACATCTTTGTGCTATATTTATGCTTTACCACTCAGCCAAGTTTAATTTGCTTCTCCACATTAACACAATTATATTTTTTAAGATACAGTTGCTGACCCCATTAAAAAAAACTATAAAGAGTTATTCCGATCTCCTTTCCTTTGCAGCTTCCAAGGAGAAATAAGTAATACGAAATGTTATGCTTGGGAATCCTTGATTTTGCTCTGAGATTTGAAATTACTCAGACGTGCTCTGTTCTCTTTCCTATTTTTTAATTACTACCAACTAATTTTTTTAAAAAAATGTATTGCCATCCCTTGGATGCTCAATGGGTGTGTCTGCTTAATGGATTATATAAAACTACTGCAATATGTGCCATTAAATTTTGTAGTGATTTTTTGCAACCACATGGATAGATTTTTCTCTATGATGGCTGGGATTTTTGAGTGAAATTCATTCACTTCTCTGCTAATTTTCCCTTCCCTTACCTTGAGGAGCCAAGTAACTGTCCTGGAACAACTAGGTTACTTCTTGCTTCAAGGCCTGGTTATACTTCTCTTTGTCTGATCTGTCTGATCAGTAACTCCAGGCAACTACAGTACTTTCCCTCTAAATTCTGTTCTAATTTATTCTGTACTGTGGATTAGAAAAATATGGGCTGACCTAGCTTGCCATATTAGTTTACCTCCCGCTCCAAAAAAAAACCCCTACGCACATTTGTTTCAGAGTCCTTGTGTTGAGAACCTCAGAGTTTTTCCTACATCATTATTTATCCTTGAGAAGTAGGATTGAACTGAGCTGCCACAGAAGGACTATTTCTTCTTACTTCTTCCATTACTGTGTTTTTGTTGTTGTTTTGCCGTAGAGATTCTCAAGGGCAAGAGTAGAGTATTGCTTCTTTTTGCTCTTTATTTGAAACTTCCAAGAGATTGTGCCTAAATTACGAAGTTAGGGATCCCTTTTGAATAGGAAGAACAAATTGAAGACTCATAAAAGAAAATCCTTAATCTGGCAACTTGAAGGGAACATTGCTTTCAATGTTCCGCTTTTGGTAAGAGGTGGCATTAATTAATATTGCTATTAATAGTATCAGTGGTAATAATTGGCATTGATGGGTATGGTGTGGTTTGCACTATGCTGTTCGAGACAAACTGTGTCATTTTAGTACCAACTCGTGGGTTTTCAAATATTCCTGAATATGCATGGGAGTGTATGTGAATGTTTAACTTATCATACCAATGTCAGCACTTGGAAAAATTCCCATTTTTCATTTTATTTTCCAAGTTATATCTTGATTATTCTTCCCCTACTCCATTCCACAATATTAATGGTTAATGGCAAAATCTTTTGGGGTATATGGATTAGAGCTGGATGTGCTGACTGAATTATTGCAGGTCAAGCAAAAAGAAAAAGAAAAAAGAAAACAAAAGGAACACTTAGAAACAGAACTTTTAAATTCCCTGTGTATTGTTGTTTGTATATACGCTGAGAGTTTATGCACCGAAGTCAAATTCCTTCCAATCATACTCTGCCAATAAACCTATTCTATTCTATTCTATTCTATTCTATTCTATTCTATTCTATTCTATCCTATCCTATTCCATTCCACTCCACTCCACTGTTGTCATCATCGTCATTGTCATTATCATTATTAACAAAACAACAACAACAATAATAGTAATAATAATAATAATCTGATCTGTAAGTGTGAAAATTAAGTCACTTTTCAGAAATTTGGAAGATCTTTATCCTTAAGAATAAAGGAATCTCAGTTTGTGGTTTATTTTTGTTGTCTTCTTCACAAGTACTTGAGGAGGAACAGAACAAGGAAGATTATTTCTACCCCCAATAGAACTAAAAACAGGAAGAACCTGAGTCTTTTTCATCGATGAATATTTGTTAAATCCCTTCCAGATCTGCTTGTTAAATGATAGGGATACAACAGAACCCACCCACCCACCCTTTTTTTAAGCCACTCTGATTACTGTGTAGTTCTGTTTCTGCTCTAAGGTGATTTGCTTTGACTACTATAGGTTACTTATATAAATGGGTAAAGAAAGCACCAACTTAATTAGCCAGCGATATATTTACAAGTGGCTCTAAGTACCAGCTTCAAATTTATTGCAGTTAAGGTAGATGAAAAGTCTTCTTTCTCTCAGGATCTGGATTCAATTTAAAACTTTCTACAACATATTAACGATAGTCAGAAGGGATTGATTCCAGGCTGAAAGTGTACTGGCATCGCTCACCTAAATAAGATCTAGTTCAACCTATGACTTTTACCAAATTTTGAAAGTTTTAACCAGTTATTTTCTTTAATAAAGATGGCTAAAAATGGATTCCAATAGTTACATAAATGGATAGATCATTAAATAACATTTCTTTTTAAATTTAAAAGAGATTAATTATCTACTGCTTATATAATGTTACATTATAAAGGCTACTATTGTATTTTCTTTTTTAAAAAAACCTGATAATTTTCTATTGGTTTATTCCTGCTCCTTATGTTCATCTAACCTTTATAGGTTGTTTTTCCAAAATATATTTATTTTGTAAGAAATTGGATTCCGCATATTGTTATTTACAGCAAGATATTCTTTGATTAAATTGGCAAAAGCAGCACTTTATTGTCCTTTGGGTTTGAAATAATAGTGAAAACCATAGGGGTTTTTGTTTGTTTTTATTGGGGAGAAATATAGTGGCTTTCATTAGTCTGCTAATTTGAAAACCTTCCTTGCAGGTGAAACTTTGTTCTAAAATAAATTTGTTTCGGTTGCTGCAATTCGGCACACTCGACAGCTGTTGCATAAGAAAGTGTGTATGTGTGAATAACTTGTTTTAGAACTTCCGATCAATGAAAGAACACCAATCTCTTTCTCTTTCCCTATCAGAGAGTGCTTGGGCTCAAGGGATCCGTATTGTGGCTGGGATAAAAAGCAAAAGCGATGCACAACCATTGAGGACAGCTCCAATATGAGCCTCTGGAGTCAAAATATTACCGAGTGCCCTGTAAGTAAAAACCTAAAATCAGAAATATAAAAATGGATGACCCATTTTGCTCTGAACCAGTCTTCATGAAATTGCTGCAGCATTGTTGTGTCCGTGACATGTGGGTTAGCTGACCATTAGAATTCTAATATTTTCTGTTCATCTGCATGAGCATTGATGGGGAAAAACCTAAATGCATGCCGTTTGTTTATCGTGTGGAGACCCAGGCATAATGGCAAACCTTGCTACTGAGGTTTGCATAACCTTTTCCTCAAACCTAAAAAATAGCTACCTGTTTAAATTTGATTCAAATTACAGCAGTGAATTCAGTGTTGTTCATACAATTACTTTTGGTGCATTTAATCTTTTTTTTTTTAGTCGATAGCAAATGAATTTCTGGAAATTGGTGTGGGATAGGAGGCTCTTGAGTTCTCATCCAAGGTTTTCATGGGGGTATCTCTGGCTCAGGGGCCTCTAGTATAATTTATTGTGGTCTTTTGGTCTCCTTCAGGAGGGGAAAAACCCTAAGGCTTCTTAATTTATTAGACATTTTGTAAGATAGCTCGATCATTTGGACTGATAATTGGTTTCCAACAAAGTGCTGAAACGGCAGAGTGGCATTAAAGTGGTATGATTTGCATGGGGCCTCTGAACCAGTGGTGAGATTCAATTTTTTTTACTACCGGTTCTGTGAGCGTGGCTTGGTGGCCGTGGCAGGGGAAGGATACTGTAAAATCTCCATTCCCTCCCCACTCCAGGGGAAGGAGGCATAGAATAGATGGGGGTGGGGCCAGTCAAAGGTTGTATTCTAAACTAGTCAAAATTTCAGCTACCGGTCCTCCGAACTATTCAAAATTTCCAGTACCAGTTCTCCAGAACCTGCTGAATTACCACCTCTGCTCTGAACAATGGCTCCACCAACTGTGATCAGGAATTTGTCAGCGACTCCCTTGAATTTGTCTCATGGAGAAGGTGGATGCATATTAGAGAGAGAAAGGCAGTCTTTGAGAGGAAATAACTAGTATAGACACGTCAGTTTCTTTCTCGTTTCTTTTATGTGGAAGAATCCATTCTCATCACACAGAAGTTGCAGAGCAGATTCCACCTTTTCTCAGCGTTGGCATACCCAGGCCAAGCTGTAGATTGCAGAGGTAGCCCTCCATTCAGAATCAGCCCCTCCCAATAAAGGGTAATGCATGTAGGCATATATTTAATAACACAGATGTAATGAATTACTATTGTTACTGTTTTTGCATTCCCATTATGCAGGGGTCAGTGATAGCTAAATTGCAGAGGGGTATTTTGTGCAGCTTGGATTTAAAGTTGCAGTCTGGGATTTTTCCTGTCTGTAATAACCTTGGTCACTCCTTTCCACCCCTCTCTCACTCTCCATATAGCATTAGTCATTCCTTCTTGCTCCATTTTTCTGTATGGATTTAAAGTATTGTCTGCTTATAGCCTTCCCCTGCTGTTCTTGGGATATAATGTTTATTGACTGCCAGGTGTTGTTATCTTGTCACAGCTTAATGCCTCTGTCTGTTGCTAGGTGTGTGAGGTATTAATCCTTTCCCTGAAACACAATGTCTGCTCTAGTCTGGTGGGAAGCCCTCTCCTTTCGTAATCAGTCTTCCATGATCGCCGAAAATAGCCTGTTGCAAGTCATTTGGGTTTTAGAAACGACACAAGGGATAGGAAGAGTAATGTTTGGATTTTAAGACACAACCAATAACAGCTCCCTTATGTCTTAGAAACAGGGATGTCGAAGATGCATATTCAAAAGGTTGATCCAAGTGATTCTGCTTTGCCACAATGGATAGTGACTGGCTGGGTACAGACAATATGTGCAACTAAAAACCAGCCACTTTTATGGCTTAAGTGCACGCAACATCATGACCCATCCATTTTCTACGTCCATCATGATATTGCAGCCCTAAAAGGGCAGAGTTTGCACCATGATGTTGCTTTCATCATACTAGCGAAAGGGGCATGAAGCCCCTGGGCTTGAAGCACAGTTGTGAATTTATTTTGTTCTTATTTATATGATATTTATCCTGCCTTTCTTATTGTTTATAAATAATTCAAGATGGTGATAATACTCCTTCCTCTTCCTATTTTTCCCACAAAAACTCCATGACAGGAGTTGGGCTGAGAAGGAGAGAGGGGCTTGGCCCAAAATCACCCAGTCAATGTTTCATCCCAAAGTGGGTCTAGAACTAATAGTCTCCTAACCACTAGTCCAAATTTACAATTGCCTGAAGATATAGAGCAGTGGTTCCCCAACCTTTCTGCTTGGTGGACCAGCAGTGAGGGTGGGAGAGGGGTTGGTTTTGCATGCGCATACTACTTTGACAAAGGCAGCTTTGCACATATGTCGCTCTGGCCCACCACTTCTGTGGCCCGGTTCCAAATGGGCTGCAGCCCAGACCAGGAGTTGTGGACCCTGCCCAGGACAGTACAAAAACTGTGTTTCCAATGCCACAGAGACAAGGTATGAGTTGGAAACATGACTCTGGGATGTTCCCATTCCTAAGGCCTAATCAATCAGCGCATTGCCACCCCGTGAGTACCAAATAGAATTGCAGGTGCTGTCTTACTCTTCTCACTTGCAACGTGGAGAAGGAATGAGAAAGCTGCAGCAGTTCTTCCAGCAGAAAGGTTGGGGGAAACTGCATAAGAGGTAATCACGGGAAGGAGGAATTCAGCAATACAAGATCCAATTAGAGATCCCTTAATGTAACTCCTCTTGCTTCTCCTCTGCATTCCATACCCAGGGCAGCAATTGCAAAGGCACCTTGAGCAGCCATTAACACATCAACGGGCAGTCATCATGGATTATTTCAAAGTGGATTAAGACTTAATTGAACAGCACTGACGTGCACAGTATGTGGCTATCTCTTTAACCATCAGCAGGTGGGAAATTACTTAACACTGCTGTAAGGAAGAGTGGTCAGAAGAAAGAGAAACTTGCATGATGCAGTAATCTAATTCCCCACTTTGCTATACAGCTATCCATTTTGCTAAGATGTGATTGGAGCTATATTCAGAATACATGACTAGAGGCTAGTAAAGGGAGACAAAAGACTCCCAGCTAGCACATATACCCATCAGTACAGATTTCAAAACATCTTTAAGCTAACAATAGATAATCTTTCAAGTTGGGACTTGCTATTCATTTATTACAGTTAAATTCCAACTCTTTGCTAAAGCAACAATACAGTCTCCCTTGAGTTTACAGAGCCAATCCTAATTTGAATCCTCAGGAAAATTACTGAAGATGACTTCAGACATTTTGGGGATATTGGACTGGATATTCCCTAAAAGAATGAAGGAAAGAAGCCTGCTACAATCAGGAAACTGCTGGTTGTTGTTTTTTTTTTGTGTGTGTGTGTTTCTAAGGTTGGGTCAATGTTCTGTGGTTAGTTGAAGACCTTCAGTTTTCTTATCTAAGTTTTCTTTCTAGGATCACACTGCATATTAGATGCAATTCTCTGATCCTAAAACCATATTGCGTGTATTAAAAAAGAATTGCTCTTTTGGAATCTACTACCTAGTGTATGTTTTTTACTATGTGTGTTAGGCAAGCATGCCTCATAAATTATACTAATACCTTGTGTACTGGAAAATCCCATGGTGCATCATTGTATTAAAAATTGATATAAACGGGTTGAAAGGAATGGGGTGGGTATTGCAATGAATATTCCAAGAATGATGCATTGTAATTGTGGTTATCTTGGATATATTTTCTGTTGTGAAATGCTTGCCTTCAGATTGAGAACATGTTAAGATTTTAAGGTTTTATTGAGGACGTGCACAGTTTTTTTTTTTCTTTCCTAGACTGATTCACTATGATAAAATTCCCTTTTTATTATTAGGCAACTCAACAATGACAAAATGTAGTATTCTTGAAGGAAGGGGGAGAAATATTTGAATGCTGTCTAATCTATAACAAAGAAAATGCTCAAGCTTCCTTTACCAAAACCAAGGAAGAAACAGAAAACCCACCTCCTAATGTGTGTCCTGATATGTCCTTCCCAGTTGCATAAATGTCTACTCAACGATGATTCTGGCCCTCTCTATAAATCTGGTTCTGTCCACCAAAAGTGGTGCCCTCTCTGTCTTAGTTGATGGTGGAATACAAAAAGATTTCTTTTTTGAAGACCAAAACTGTAGGGAAAAAAAATATTCTTTTGAAGATACACAGACCTCAAGCTAAATTTTTGTCTAAATTAATCCTGAAATTTCTTGGTTTCAAATAAATAATCTGTGTTTCTGTTCCTTATTTCTGTGCTATAACTGGAACCTTGCCTCTGTGGAGTCCTTGGTGCTCTCTGTTGTTTGCTTGTAACTGTTTCATTACCTGTTTCATTACCTGACATCATCAGTCTTAGTGAATGTAGGGTTTGCTCCTTGTGCATATATAGTAACTTTCCCTGTCAATTGGTGTACTTTGGGTGAACTATATGGTACTGCATGCTGGACCAAGTACATCTTCCACATTGTCTTCAAGGGTAATCCCATGTACAGCATGTTGCAGTGTTCCAAGCAGGAAGTGACTAAGGCATGAGTGACTCATGCATACATTTAATAACATATTCTAAATTCCCAGAAGACTTTTACAATGAAGATTGTACAACAGATCCCTCACTTACAGAGATATTCATTTCCTCCTGTCCGCTATAGGGCCAGTGCCACCTTGGCTAATGTAAGTCAGGAATGGTCCACCTTCTTGAGCTGCATAAGTTGAAAACAATGTGTACTTGTTAACTTTACACAACTCTTTCCATCCTGCACAAATATGTAATATTTCTAAGCCAAGGAGTTCAGCTGAACAGTAGCTAGAATACAGCAGGGAAGACTGTGCAGTCTTCTCCTTGCTTATTGTTTGCAGGCTGCTGAATTACAGTGTGATGAAAAACAAAGCTTTGGAACAGATGTTTAAGGTCCTTCTAACTTCAGTGTAACGAACATAATGACAGATCTAAATTACTTCCATCTTATATCTTGTAGTTTTTAGATGCAAGATGGAGTCTCAAAGGAAGTGCCAGGGGAGAGCTTGGCCATGGCCAAGTGAAGAAGTGGGAAATAGGAGAGAACAAGTTATGATTTGCAAACCTTGTTTTGTAACTATTTGCCTGCAAAAGAGATTCCATGGTGCTTTTATGAGGTAGGGAGAGTATTTGTCTGGCCTTCATAAAAAATCAGTAGCAGCTGCTGTAGGGTAATGTCCCTCTTCTTTGCAAGAAAAGTAGTTATTTTTGCTGTAAGGCATCTCTTTGCTGCAGTTATGACTTCCAGACATGACTTTTCTTGTACAAATATTCTCCCTGAATTCACCACTTTTTTCAATGAGGAGTCTCGTCTAGACCGTATGGTTTTCCTTTGTAACCTGTATTTCTTTATTGCCGCTTTCTCTTTTTTTTCCTTACACCAAAAGTCTGTAAAGAAGAAAAAGATAGACTGGTTACAGGGTGAATTTGATAAGGAGTGCAACAAACTGTTTGTCCTAATCACCATCTGTGCTTTCTGGGGAAATCATTGTTGTATGTAGTGAGAAGATAAATGGATAAAAGAGAAAGGAGCCCATGGAGGATTTCCCTGTTTTTCTTTGTACTGGTGAAAGATGAAAGCAATATCCCACAGGGATGCATTTTGGGAGTCATAGAAGCAATGGTCAATTTGATATAGCGGACATAAAAGACTCAAGCTGTAAATATGTTTTAAAAATGAAGATTGTTGTCACTATATTTGTAACTTTGACAATTCAAGTTCAGAATTTCCTATCAAAACTTGCACAGTTTCTTTAATAAGCCATAAACTACAATGTTAGAAAGTTCACTTTGGTTCTATTTTCAGTTTGTATAAGATGCATTGACTGGATGTATTGTACATTGTGAAGAGTAATGGATGTTCTTGATTTGTTTTCTGGTTATATTTGATTGTTTGCGTGAGCCAAGAATGCACTGAAGCGTGGTATTGTCAGAAGAGTCAGAAGAAAGATTCAAGGCTTCCTGGCTTTACTGCATTGTAGCAGCTTATGCACTGTGTAGACTCATCATACTTATTTTTCTTTTTTTTTAAATTAGGTGAAAAATCTGATGGTGCATGGACAGTTGGGGACCTGGTCTCCATGGCAACCATGTGAACATTCAGATGGAGATAGTACAGGTTCCTGCATGTGCAGATCACGGTCGTGTAACAACCCTCAGCCCCGGTGTGGTGGACGTGACTGTGAAGGAGCCAGAATAGAGATTGCAAATTGCTCAAGGTACTTCAGAATGTTTGTGTCTCGAGTTCCCAGAAGGACGGAACTGTTCCTTTCACCAGATTATGAATTTCCACTACATTACATCTTGATCCAACATGCTTATAGACCTTAAACCTGAGAAAGGCAGTCTACAAAAAACTATGGAAGGCCACTAAATATTTATTATAGCAAAGCCATAGAGTTGGTAGAATATTGGGAATTTGAACCTTTCCAGTAGATTGCATTAGAACACTGCCTCTGAACTAAATCTGCCTCTTGTGGACATTAATCAGAACATTAAAAAATAAAAATTAGTCATCTCTGTTTTCCTGATGTAATATCTGATCTTGTTACCAAGTGGCCTTTTTTTCATGTCACGTGAGCATATCCCAGTGTCTTTGCAATAGTTATTAAAAGTTTGTCTAATTTTGCACATTTAAGATGAGATACTACTCTGGAATAAATACAATACTTGATTGTGTTCTCCATCACCACTCTGGATCAGAATTTCCAATCTCACCTACTTAAAGGCAGCGTTTTTAGTGGGTGAAGAATTTGGAGGAGGAAAAGGTGGTTTTAAAGGCTGTTCCAGATCCATGGGATAGTCATAGGGTGGGACAATTTACATATTACAACTGGCTTGTTAACACTGGATAATTTGGCCATTATACCATTGGTACTTCCAAATGGTTTCATGCAAATAAATGAGCTGCCATGTAAAAACAGACCATTAAATTTAGCACTCTAAAAAAAAAACTATGTTTCAAGCTGTGCTATGTGAGATGCTAACATTGGGGCTCCTACAGCAAACTGGCTTCTCCATTGTGCTTGGCTGCAGAATTATTTTCTATACTATTTGGAACCAACATCATCCAAGATAGGGACATTTTCCATGGGAAAAATAATGACAAGGGAAAAGGCTAATGGACTCCATTAGGGCAGTAGTCCCATCCCAAATTAAACAATTATTACCCCAACACAAAAAGGTATTTTGATCTTGGCAAGGTGTACAAGATATATAGTTAAGAGGCATTGTGGTTATGTTGAGTTTAACCCACAACTGCATTTGATTCATTTATATTGATTTACTCATAACTAGAGGGATTTAGTGGCTCAGTAGTTAAGTTTCTGAACCTTAGACTGTTGAAGTTCAAGGCCTGAATGCCGTAAACAGAATGAGCTCCCATCACTTGTCTCAGCTGCTCCCAACCTATCAATTTGAAAGCATGCAAATATAAGTAGAAAAATAGGTACCACATATTAGTATGCAGGAAAGTAGTAGCATTCCATGTTTCACCATACGCTCTGTGCTGTGGCATAATACGCTGGCTACATGGCCAGGAAAATGTCTCTGGACAACAATGGCTCTTTACCTTAAGAAACTGAGATAAGCACCACCTCCTAAAGTCAGTCACAACCTACCAGTTGAACCATCCTCCATCTTCCCAGTTCATTATTCCTCCCATGTCACCAATGTTTCAGTTTCTTTTTCAGCAGGCTTTCTTCATTAAATCCAAGCCCTTCAAGATTTGATCCAGTTCCAATGTCTTTGATAAAGAATATGGTATTAGCTCCCTTAACTGTATGAGTTCTAGCACTACCTCAGTATTAAAACAAAGGCAATGAGCTTATTTTTAAAAAAACAGAAACATGAAAGACATTAAATTTGAAACTTGGAATATTAACTTTTAAAAATCTGGGGCTACCTCGAGTGAGCAAAGGATATGGGTGATATACTGAAGAACGGTGTGAGGTTATTAATGAAAAAGAAAGACTGGTCATTTTTTTTTTCAGTATCACTGGTAAGGTGTTTTAGTACTGAAGCAGCAGTTCTAACACATCCCTTCTGTTGGGCTGGGTCGCAGAGAATTAGATTTAATTCTGTGAAGTTACCTGAAACTGTGCACCCAAGCTATTCTTCTAGTATTATGTATTATGTATTCCTAACATGTATATGTTATCAGCTGATCAAATGATACATTTTAGATATGAAGGCATGCATATCAATCCATAAATAAACACATAAATTGATGCATCTACAAGTGCATTTACATCTCTCTTCTAATGCCTGTGCACTCTTCAGGTAGTTATTGCTGACAAATATGTTCAGTGTCATTACAGCAAGACAAATACACTTCATATGCTGCCTTGGGTGTCTTGGCAGTTTAAGCTGTCACACTTGAAGGAGTTTAATTCATCTTTCTTTAGGATGCTATTCATACCTGTGACAAAATTAGCGAGCGAAGACGTGGAAGATTCCTTCACAATATGGACAGTTCTTGTGGAGAATGTTTCTACATATTTCAACCTAGATTAGTTCCTCTGCAGAATCTGTTCAGCCAGTTTTCTCTGACTGACATAAGAGCAGACTCAATTTGAATCTCGCTGGGAAGGAATAGTTTTCCATCTCTTTGCTAGAGAACATTAACATTTGGAATAAAATTACTAACAGAGGCAATAGAACTTTATTAGTTACTTAGACTCATAATACGCAAAGGTGTGTTTTGTGCCTATAAAAATGGTGTGATGGATAATTATTCTGATTAACCTGGTGCTGAAAGGATTTCTCAAAATCTCCCACTGAGTTTGTGACTCACCTGGGATATGAATATCTGTCTTCTCTCACTCCAGGATGACACATGATTAAATAATAATAATAATAATAATAATAATAATAATAATAATAATAATAATAATAATAATAATAATAATAATAATAATGATAATGATAATAATAATAATAATAATAATAATAATATCATTATCATTATTATTATTATTATTATTATTATTATTATTATTATTATTATGCAGTTTATATACAGCTGGTACAACTCCACCATGTGGAGCATTATTTTCTTTGCAAGAGACATAAGATATTTGGTGTAATAATTTAATTATTGCCAGCATTGTTATCAGTTAAATGTAGAATACCATAAGATTAGTCTGTAGGAAATAGATGAAAAATGTACCTAATGTTAACATTTAGTAACTGTTAGGAAATATAACCATATGATCATCTTACATTCTTCGCAAGTCTACAATATTCCATTTTAACTGGTTTGTATGCCATGTGATTCTTTCATCAGAATATTTAAAGGAGAGGTTTTACTAACAAAATCTAAGATTTCTATTGAAAATGTCACTGTGATAATAAAAACCTTACTGAGAAGTGAATGTAAATCAACTCTTTGTATTTTAAGATTGGAATCTTCAAAAAAAGAAATCTGAACATATAAAATTTTATATTCTGGCTGCTATTCCCAACATATGTCTGACAAATGGTTGAATTATTTACATATGATTATACTGACATGGGGACACAGAACTAGCTAATAGTTTTAAATTTTGTGTGTGATTTTGATTTGTATATTGATGGTTTTGTTGTTTGTGTTTTTCCTGTATCATTCTGGACATCTATCCATTTTTTGTTCTGTTTTATCAATACATTTTTTGATGTACAATTTTTTCTTACTTGCTAAAAAAAAGAGGATTCAGTTACAAGGGGAAAAAGTAATTTTCAAAAATTTATTGCCCTCCAATGAAAGAGAAATAAAATACCACTGATCAAAAGTCATGCTCATTTCCAAGAGAGAATGAGAGAAAAAATTAGGAAAGTGTAGACAAAGTTCAAGTTTTAATTCTAATATTTTTGCTACAACAGATGAACTACTAGCTACTTTTTAGTTTCCAGGCTCTTCAGTTGCATCCATTTCCCACATAAACATTCAGGAATCCAAGAAAGAAAATAGCTTGTGAAAAAGACTTGAAAGCAAAGTTTTTAAAAATTGACCTCATTTTCCAAGGTAGAGAAAACAGGAATGTTGAGATGATAGAAGAACCGTATCTGGTTCTATTTTGTGATATTTTCTTGGATAGGATAAAAGTTAGTTCCTGAAATGTATTTCCTATTGGGATTAAGAAAACAACATATCTGTGTGTAGAATAGGAAGTACAACCTGAATCTTTCTCAGAGAAATCACTGCAAGTATTGGAGTGAATTTTCACTTCACTGGCTGGGCCTTAATATTAACACACGTTATGGAGAATCTACTGCCTTTTTAAAAACCTTATTGAAAAATCACACTTGCAAAGGGTATTTAAACAATTCAAGTGTACATATATTCTGTTTGTTTCTATGTTAACCCACCATTCATAAACATATATAGAATGTAAAAATTACTTAAAGGAAAACATTAATAGAAACATCAGTAAGATAAAGCAATGGTAGCAACAACAACAAAAAAAAACAGAACCTATAATTTATATTTAACCATGGTTTGCTATTTTAACCAATAAAAGTTCTTACAGATATTATCTGAATCTTTTAAAATATCCATTAAAAATATGTGTAAACTAATGCCCACTGTTCTTCTGTATGGAGTGTTAAGATTCTGAAATAATAATTTTCTGGTTTTTAGATAGCAATTTTTTATAGTTTTTATCATTAGCTTTTAAAAAGTTCATAACTGAATCTAGCTATTCAAATGGATATACATATTGCAGAATCACTTTTTATTAAGCTTTGTTAACTAAAACAAGTAATTGGTGAGACATCAAACTTCCAAGGCCAGGCTAACTTCCTCCCCTTTCAACCTTGTTCTCCAGCTTCTTTTTTGCAATACCATAAAATGTTCTCACAAAGTTCACAAACATGAAAAATTACAGCAAGAGTATAAATTTATGAACTATGAGGAATGTATGAGGAATTGGGTTTATACAATCTAAACTTATTTTTGTTATAATTTACTTAGGCATAAATCTGCTCACAATGAAATTACTACTTTTGAATTATCCTTATAATTATAATTTTTTTAGTTGGGGGTGTTTAATTCTATTAATAGGTTTTTTACTAAGCCTAGTCAGCTCTGCACACCTGCTGGTACCTCATAGCCAGTGGGGTTGAATTTGTCATAAGACTGAACAAAAACATTAACCCGGATGCCATGTTTTATCTCTCCTCCTTTCTCCTCCTTCTGTCAGGAATGGAGCTTGGACCCCATGGTCGTCCTGGGCCCCCTGCAGCACTTCCTGTGGGATTGGCTTTCAGGTCCGTCAGAGGTCATGCAGCAACCCTGCTCCGCGATACGGAGGCAGGGTCTGTGTCGGACAAAGCAGAGAGGAGCGGTGAGAGATGTTCCCCATCCCTAAACTTCTGTCAGTTTAAACCACAGCTCTGCGTTTTCTTTGGAAAGAGGTGGACACCATGTGACACAATACCTTTCACAGCTGCTTTTTCCAGTCTAAACCTGCCCATTTGTGGTGATAATGCTCAGAAGCCTCCCACCCTTGGTCCCTACCAAGGAGACTGGGGAGGTGGCAAATGTCAATAGGATTATCCCAGCACCCTTATTTAGCACCTCTTTTTTTATTTTTACTTCTTAAAGACTAATAGAAATTACATTGTTTTCCCAAGCCTTTTCTGAATGATTTTAACAATTGTCCTTTACTGTTGTTAATTGTTTTCAATCATTTCATTTGTTTTATGTGATTTTAAGTTTTACTGTGTTTTTTTTTAATTGATCTTTTTATTGTTTTGTTCCTAGATTGTAATCTGTCTTGCAGAACTCAGGGTGGAAATGAAGGCTAGAAATGTACAAAACTTTAGAATTATGATTAATTAAAATCAAACTCATGCTGGAAAGCATATGCATCACTGTTAAGTTGTCAACATTGCTGATTCTGGAAGGCAACGTCTATAGCTGATTCCACTCTGGCATAATATACCTTTGAACGGAGCCCAGTAGTCATTCTAAGGACACTTAATGCTTAAGCAAGAGGGATATTTCTCTCCAGTAATAAATTAAGGTTGCCAGTAGAAAGAGAAATGTGTGAGGAATGGCTTATAAATGTTGTCAATAGAGGCATTGGCACTGGAATACTCTCTTAAAATTGTCCCCTTTCTCAAATCCTCCAGAACCTCACTTCCCAAAATGCCCAGCCTATTAAGGATTCAACATGCTCAAGTATTATAGGATGTAAAAGGAGGAATGGATCTTGGGAATGAATAGATTAACAGAGTTGGAAGAGATCTTGGAGTCTTTTAGTGCAACACCCTGCACAAGCAGGAAATCCTATATCATTTCAGACAAATGGTAGTCCAATCTCTTCTTTAAAACCTCCAGTGTTGGAGGCACCCACAACTTATAGCTTATTGGAGGTAGGCCTGGCTGACCCAAAGTCTGACCAAGAGAATTCTTAGGAGAAACTAATATTATAATATGGTATTGTATTACACAGCCTTAGTGGCTTCCAGTAATAATTACACAAAAACATAACATCTGGGAGTGGCCATAAAAACAGCCACTGATTTACAGAAAGATACATTGCCTGCACTGCATGTTCAGGAAGCTGTTTTTAAGTGCAGGCTGTCACTACCCCATCATTCTGGACTTGTTTATGAATTAACTTGACTAATGAAAACAATGGTTTTTTTGTTTGCTTCACCGATTTCCTTGAACTTAGTGATCTATTTCTATTAAGGAACTCACTAATTAAATTGAATTAGAAAGTATTATTTTGAAACAATCAAAAACATTGGTGTAATAATGGACACTGTTGTTTGACCCAGTTGAATATTACTGGAGGAGGTTTTTTACATTTTAAGGGGGAAATAATTTTGACAATAACTTTTTAATAGCTTGTGTAAAATGTTTATTTGTATAACTAAAGAAGCAAAAAAAAAAGGAATTGGGTATATATATATGTGGTTTCAGATTATTTTTTGGATATATAGGAAGGCAGAATAAAATTATGGTCCTCTGGAAATAATCCCTGTTCATGTAGAGGTAGGTACACTGAATTAAAGAATAAAAACTTTATTGGAAATAAATCTTAGTTAACAATGTCAAGTTTATCTCTGAATAAAAATGTTATTTTATAGTAGGTTCAAAAGTTAATGACAGACTTGAGTTCAGTTATACCCAATATATTGCTTTCTAAGCAATATTAAAAGATAGCTTTCTTCTAGTATTGTAGCTCAGTTGCTATTTATGCCAATTTAATTCCAAAAAGCTGGTATTCTACATTCAGTACAAATTCCTTAAGAGTTTAATATTAAGCTAATTTGCAGCTCTGGCAATAAACACTAGTAAAATGTTAATGAAGAGTCTCAATCAGCCAGGTAAAGCCATGGCAAGTGGATTTCTTTATTTGTTGGTTTGAAATGTGTCACTGGACCACAAATTGAGAACTACTGTTCTACTATATACACAGGCAATGAATGAATAAAAATGGTATAGTGATGAAATGTATTTTCAGTTTTTTATGATGTAAATGTACATCTAATTTCTAATATCTGGAAAGCTTGACCTGGCAACCAATAATGTTGTATCTAGCATGTTATACCAACATTGTTTCAATTTACAATTAAATAATCATAATTGTTGCATTAACGTAGAATCAAAGCAAAATCCAAAATGTTCTAAATCAATACAAGCCCCACTACTGAAATATACTCTTCACCTATTTTAAAACTTGATATTATCAAGAGAGTTGCATTTTGATTAAGGAAATCATCTTTTATTCCAGTTCAATCAGATTAGCCAAAATTAGTTGAAGATTTACTGATTCCAGTGGTTTAAACATGTTAGCCTATGTGTCCCATATCTTTTTGTGCCGTTGCATTTGTACTCAGACTAAGATTAGCGATTTGGACTGAGATTTTGTCTTCTTGATGGTATAAGTAGATCTGAGGAACCATTTCCAATTTTTTCCTTGTGCTTAGGAAGGCATAGAACACTGATTGTGTCTTCTTCCATTTCCCTTCCCATTTTTATTTGCACTCAGATTCTGCAATGAAAACAGTCCATGCCCATTGCCAATCTTCTGGTCTTCGTGGGGCCCTTGGAATAAATGTAGTGCAAACTGCGGTGGAGGCATGCACTCCAGGCAGAGATCCTGTGAAAATGGAAACTCTTGCCCAGGCTGTGCTGTGGTATGTTTTCTAATTTAAAATATTGATATTGCTTTGTTGGATTATTTTGCCTCTCTTCAAGATTCCCATAACAGCTTCATCATCTGAGACTTGCTACAGGAGAAAAAGAAAAGAAAAAAACATGTATCTCAAGAACAAAACATCGCTGGTCACCAATTTCTGTTTTTGGAGAGAATTTACCATCTCTCAACTTCTAAAATCAACAGTAGTTTTAATTAATTTTAAAATTCAAAATTAGTCTGAAACAAGTCTTACATCTTACCACAGCGTAGAGCTAATAAACAACATTTCCTGGATATATCTTGTTATCTTGACTGTCCTGCAAACAATCACTCAAAAGGTACCGTTACTGCAGTCCAGAATTTTTCTCCTATTAGATATGGTGAAAATAATGGAGAGTGAAGGATTGACCTGCTCAAGTGTTTTGTCTTGTTCCACCTAGACAGTCAATTCAAGCCTACCGACATTTTTCAAGAGGAGATGCCATCCCAAATCAGAAAGTTGACTTAAAGAATAAGGGGCTCTCCTAAGAAATAATATGTGATTGGATGCAAACAGCAGTAAATGGATTCTTGAGATACAGGGTGCTTCTGCTGCTCTGAAGGAGACAGTGGTGTGTCATTTCTTTAATGGTTCTAGGTAATTTTTCATCCAATCTTTCAGATTAACAGAGTTGGAAGGGACCTTGTAGGTCATCTAGTCCAACCTCCCGCCCAAGCAGGAGACCATTTCTGATAAATGGCAGTCCAATCTCTTCTTTCTCAGGAAGGTTATTGAGAAATTCCAGAGTGCCCTAAAGTAACAAATTATCTGGATCCATTGCAATTGGGTTTCAGGAAGCAGCAAAAAACAGAGACACACTTGATCACACTGGTTGATGATTCCCTGTACAGCCAGGACGGAAATGGTGAAACTGTCTTGATCCTCTTTGACCTATCAGCAGCTTTTGATACCATTGATAATGGTATCTTTCTAGACCAGCTAGGAATCTAGGAATGGAAGGCCTGGTGTTGCAGTGGTTCTCCTTTCTCCTTACTCTTTTCCAGTCAATGTTTTCAGGTGGGGAGAGATCCAATCTGAAGCTTCTGGTTCAGGGTGCTTCAGGACTTGGCATTTCTTCAATAACATCATAGTGTATTCACAGAAACAGACACCATTACTGATATTGTTGATATTTTGGCTACTATTTTCTGATTCTATTCTTCAAAAGTCCCCTTCAGTATTTTCATTGTCATTACATTTTACATCTTTCCTCCTTAGTTCCTTCTAGTGTCTAGTTTTTGAAATCATTAATTTCTGTAAGTTATGTTTTGTAAAAATCAAAACAAGATCTATTTCTCATGGGAAGCTGTTTATACTTTTTAATTAATTCCAAAACTTTATTATATAAATTTTAATATTCAAATTTTATCTGGATCCTTAGACCATTTGTAACTTTCTAGAATAAAAGTGCATTTAGCTTTTTGCTATTTATTTCAGATTAAATTCTTAACATTATGATTAATATTTCTTTTGTTCAGAATTAAAAGCAGACTCACAAGGCCTTTACAAACTTGCCATCTCGGAGGTCTTTAGAAGTAGTTAATGAGCAATTTCCAAAAATTATCAGAAGGTGAGGTGTGCAAAGTTAGTTTCCTTTAAAAATCTCTGCCATGGTTCTGAGCAATATGTCTAGGCCTATTCCATTTAAACACATAGAAAATCATTATTCTGTAGTCTCATTATGGGGAGAAGCCATTCAGAACACATATGGGTAATCTTCTATCTTCTCTTTATCCAGAGGGATTCCAAAGAACCGATTCCTTGGATTTTGCCATGATCATCGCTTCACTTTGCCATATGTTGCTCAGAAATCCGAATAGGGTTGCACTTCACCATTCAGAACTGGTGCACAATTCAGGAATTCTCTTGGACCCACAGCTCCTGCCCAATTAGGAACTGAACTAGTTTTAATAGCACTAAGGCTCAGAGTCTTCTTTGACTTGGGATAATTATATAAATTAAAATAATAAATAAATAAAACATAGCAATACATTCCTTCCCTCAACTGGGAATCTCTGTGTTACTCCAAAACATGTTGTGTTTTTGTGCTAATATTTGGCCTATTAAATATGGCAATTAATGAAGCTTTATAGCAGAGCTTTTGATGATTATGAGATGTTGGAGATATAACAGTTATGGGCTGGAGAGTGTCAATTTTACATGGAACTATATAAATTAGTTACTGGGGTTAATATGGATATCTCAGTTTTCAGTGGATTTTTTTGCCATAGGACATGTTTGAGAAGAACTTACTTTACAAAGCAGAAAGAATTTAGCACTTTTTCCAACTTCTCCCCAGGATATTTCATATTCACAAGCAATGTCTAGCATAATAAGGAATGTTCTGCTAGTTTTTAACAAGTCTGAAATTCAACTATGTTTCTATGTTACCTACAGTTAATTTGAAACTCTGGTCTTATTGAGGGCCAAAATGAATATTCTCTGCTCTCAAAGTGATATAAATGTTGTTTTTGCTATAAGAAGCTAAATAGGTAACCTCTACAGCAGGGATGTCAAACTCATTGTCGTTACGTGACGTATCATGACTTTTTCCCCCTTTGCTAAAACGGGGGTAGGCATGGCCAGTGCATGATGCATCTGACCCATTGGCTGTGAGTTTGACATCCCTGCTCTAGAAGGAGTGTGATATTAGACTGCTGTATTTTTCTAATTCATTTATCAGAATAACAGAATTGATAGGCTTGGGCGGGGGGTTGGACTAGATGACCTATAAGGTCCCTTCCAACTCTGATTATCTGTTATCGCCTTGGAGTCTTCTAGTCTAATTCTCTGCTCAAACAGGAGTCACTGTACCATTCAGACAAATATTTGTCCGATCTCTTCTTAAAAACTTCCAGTGTTGGAACATTCACAACCTCTGGAGGCAAGTTGTTCCACTGATTAATTGTTCTAACTGTCAGGAAATTTCTCCATAGTTCTAAGTTGCTTCTCTCTTTGATTAGTTTAAATCCATTGCTTCTTGTCCTACCTTCAGGTGCTTTTTCGTCATTTGTTTTTATCTTGTGAGTAGAAACTGTTTACAGGAATAAACACAACACAACTGCTTCTCCTATTTCTCTCTAAGACTCTATCTTTTGATGGGAAGCTTGCCATTGATATTTTTATCCGAAGAATATTTTTTGAAAGCATTAACACAGAATAGCATTCAATCATGAGAATCTGTTTGTGAAGTGACACCCCCCAATGTTTTACCACCTTAGTGAATGCTAGGACTTGTCCATAAAATTTGTGCATATATGCCTAAACAATGTATATTATTCAGCTGTGGTCTGTCACCTCAGTATTATATCCTATTAATTGAAGCACTGGGAGCAATAAGAGAACTTGTTGTATATGATTTCTGAGCTTTATTTCTGCCTCAAGGATTTCTGTATTTTTAATCAAATATTCCAGATTTATATTATGACTCCGTAAATTGTGGAAGTTTCCTAGGGTGGTGGTAAACTTGTAATTTCCCCCACCAAATGTTGAAGACTCTGGTTTGATCTTCCCCTTTTTTCCCCTTCTCTTGCTTTCTACAGGAGTACAAAACCTGCAGCCCGGAGGCCTGCCCAGAAGTGCGGAGAAGCACACCCTGGACCCCTTGGACCCCTACCAATATTACTCAAAGTGGGGCCCGCCAAGAGCAGCGCTTCCGTTACACCTGTCGTGCTCAGCTGGCTGACCCCCATGACCTACAGTTTGGCAGAAAGAAGACGGAGAGTCGGTTTTGTCCCAATGATGGCTCCGCCGTTTGCGACACAGATTGTATGTCTTGCCAGAAGGCAGACCACTTGAATCTCCTTGTTTCAGATAGTGGAAGCCTGGGTGGATGAGCCAGAGGGTTGGATAAGCACCAATCTAGGCTGCTAGTAGAAGAGTGGATCAAAGCCAGCTGGTAGAGATGATGAATTCTGGGAAATTAGAGTACATGAAACTCACAGGATGCAGTGGGGAGCTTCTTAATTTCTATGTTTATAAAAGTGCCCATCTCAAAATTCTCCAGGAGCATAAGAGTTACTCTTACTAAGTAGAATCACTCCCGGTGCATAAGTTGATTGGCTGATTAATCATCCCAGCTGCTATTTGCACTTACTTATTTTGTGAGTGAGTGTTTTATTGTTTTAATGGTTTTTTTTTTTAAATTGTTTGGCTTTATAATTTTAGAATAGTAAGTTGCCCAGAGTCACTTGTAGGGTTGGGCAACTATAGACATTGAATGAAATAATGAATGAATGATGCTACATCATATATCGCAGAAGAAACTGTGGCAGTGAATGTGGCACTCTGATTACATGCAGATGTATTGTAATCAGAATCATCTATAGTAGTGGGCCTCCACCAATCTTTTTTGGCACCAGAGACCAGTTCCTGGACGGCAGGTTTTCTGCAAAGTGGGAGGGGGGGAACGTGGGGAGTTGCACTGCCTGGATCCCACAAGTACATGGATGGGGTTTCACTCACTTGCGCAGACTGGATCCTAGTGAGCCATGGACCAGTGCCAAACCATGGCCTGGGGATTGGGGACCCCTGATTTACAGTATGAAGTGACTAGATGAAATCTTTTTGTTTGTCTACTTACCAAACTTCCATTCTTTTCTTTCTTTTTTTGCTCATTTGATGAGCAGGGCCTATATTTGCAATAGTGTGCTAATTTGCAGGTTTGACACGTTTTTAAAAGGGAGAGGTTTCATTTTATGAGAATGGCCATGAGAAACATTTATGAATTTATATCTGATTGGGATTTCTTTGTCACTTAGATGACAAAGCATCTATTAATTCTCCTAATATACTTTGCAGAAGCATTCACATGGGTTAGTAAACTGCATCCTTGAGGTCTCCTATTTATTTATTTATTTATTTATTAAGTCATTTGCAAATAGATAGTCTTTGTTGTCAGCAATTGACCAAAAAAACATTTCAAGATCATGATGAAAAACTCAATTAAGAAATCAGCTTGGTTGTGGAAAAGGCAATTTCCATGCTAGGAATCAGGAGGGAGATACATAACATCTTAGGTATCGGTATCTTATATACTCAATAGAATATATTTTGCACAGTTTTGGTTGCTGTATCTCAAAATGATACTATATTGCTGAAAGAACCAGAAATGATTCCAAAGGAGCCATACGGCTGAGACAACTCCATTATAAGGAAATTTGCAGCTTTTAGTTTAGGAGATGAGGGAAGAATAATGAGAGAATTATTAGAGATTACTTTTATAATGCTAAAACCTGTTTGAAAGATAAAGAGGATTTGTTTAAAAGGGGGTTGGACTGGATGACCTAGAAGGTCCCTTCCAATGCTGTTATTCTGTATGTTAAATATTGTATAACTAAGGTAGGTATAATTATGCTGCCACAATGTTGTAGCATTAGTTTGTTTTCTGTTCGTTCCCCTCATTTCTGCTGGCTGAGTATTTTGGGAACAGGATGGTAGATGAGATAGTCATGTATCTTTTCCACCAAAACTCTTAAATTTCATCCTAGTTTTCCCCAGAGGTAATAATGCCATCTTTTTTTATGATGTCTTCATTAATGTGAAGAATGGAATACCTTTATTATCATTTTGTGCTATCAAAGCATAAAAATGTAGATGAGATCCTTTCGCTGGTGCTTACTCAGCACCAGACATTGGCAGAAAATCAGAACTAAAACGCTCCTTGTCTTGTGAGTGCAGTACTAAGGAAGGTGGACATATCTTAGTTAAGACCAAGCTGAATTTGATCTATGGCATACTTAAGGAAGAGGAAATGGAAACTTTACTTCAAAATTAAGGTAGCTGATCTATCAATATCTAATGAGATATACCATGAATTATTTAACAACTTATTTTAATTTATTATAATGGTTAACAGCTCATAATTTCTAATTGCTTTTGTACGGTAGGCCAGTTTCTTAAAAATGTAGACACAAGCCTTCCCTCTTATTACCGACTTCTTTCTGCCCATTTGTGTAAGATCAGATTACACAACCTGGCCGGAAATTTGTGCTGCCTGGGTCAGAGACCTCCTTTCCCCGTTTTCAAGAAAGAGGGGTAAAAGAGTATATCCAATATAGCCAGTTTTCATGGTGCCAACTTAGCATTGCATTAAACTGCAAAACTTGGAACTTGGAGCAGAGTAAAAAACAAAACAAAAATGAAGAGGGCCAAGAGACGATCTATAGTGCTTTTGCCTGCTTGAAATGGAGATGAGATGTAGTTCATTACCAGAAGGACGTTACATACCTGTCCTATCCGGTTTGCCTGTATTTCCTGTGCTGTACTAGTGGGTTTAATTGCCACCTTTTATTTCTCTCCCCAACTAGCTCTAGTCGATGACCTTCTGAAAAGTGGCAAGACCTCTATCCGGATTATCAATGGCGGCTGGTCCTTTTGGGGGGGATGGTCATCTTGTACCCGGGATTGTGAACTGGGCTTCAGAACCAGGAAGCGAATGTGCACCAATCCGGAACCCAAGAATGGTGGTGTTCCTTGCATAGGATCTGCAATGGAATATCAGGATTGTAACCCCCACCCTTGCCCAGGTAAGCCCTTTTTTACATTTAGCATGTAACCAAGACCATTGGTATGCTAAACATTGGACCACCTCTCTACAAAAGGGCTTGCTATTGCTTCACTGTACCATCCTAATTTCCCAGGCTGGTCTAAAATATACAGACCACTGTGACGGCATACTGCCTGCGTTTAAAAACAATATCGAAGTTGCTACTAGTCCAGAATAGTCCAGATTGATCCTTTCTTTACCGCTATTGGCACTTTCACACAGAACAAAGTGCTTTGTCAATTGCAGTGGTTCATACATTAAAACATTGATTTTAATCCTTAAAACTCTAAATTGCTTACGGCCAGATTTTCTCAAAGACTGCTTTCCCATGTATTTTACCTACTTGAACTGTTAAGGTCTTCTTTTGAGGCTTTCTCTGAAAAAAGAAAGCATTGATTCAGTGAAATGAGGGAAATAATGTCTTAGGCAGGGAAAATATATTCAGTTGTTGAACAATCCCAGCTAATATGATTATGATAAGTGCTAATTATGTTGTAATTATACAACATACTTGTATATGTTGCATATACAGTATATATAGATATATGATATATATACAACATATAGAGACCTCAGGTTTCTCATATATACATTAAAGACCAACTATTTTTGGAGGTAGTGTCCTTGTTATTGAAAAATCTTCCAGAAAGCTTTGCATTATAGTATTCTGGGTACTTTCAGTGAAGATGCTTGTATTCACTCAAATATTTTTAAATGCATGTCTTACAGTCTCTTCTTCTGAACATCTTCAGTGTTTTAATGATTTTTTTAGTTTCAGTAATTTATAATGTTTTACGTTGTCTTAATATTGTATTTTTCCATCTCTCATCTAGTGAACTTGTATCAATTGGCAGCTGTATAAAATATAAAAAGTAAGACTAAAATCTTAACAATAGTACCACCTATCTGAAAAATCATTTCACTATAATATTTGGACTGTCATTAATAGCAATAACACTTAGATTTATATGCCACTTCCCAGTGCTTTACAGCCCTCTCTAAGTGGTTTTACAGAGTCAGCATATTTCCCCCAACAATCTGGGTCCTCATTTTACCCACCTCGGAAGGATGGAAGGCTGAGTTAACCTGGAGCCAGTCAGAATCGAACTCCTGGAGTAAGCAGTGAGTTAGCCTGCAGTACTGCATTCTAACCCCTGCACCACCATGGCTCTCATTGCTGTTATTTGAGTTGCAGTAGACTAAACTCAGAGGTGCCTATTTGTTGTGTTCTATTTCATCTGCAGTGAAGGGCTCATGGTCCTGCTGGACTCCTTGGTCTCAGTGCTCAGCAACATGTGGAGGTGGTCACTACCAGCGCACCCGGACCTGCACCAACCCAGCACCAACTAATGGGGAAGATATCTGCATTGGGCTACACACAGAGGAAGCCCTCTGCAATACACACCCATGTGAAGGTAGCAAGCACTAAATTTGTTCTTCAGGACCTGATAGTATGGTGCTTTCCAAGATTACTATGCAACAGTAATAGCTACTGTTTAACTACTTAGTATTATCTTTTCTATTGACATCCTCCAATTAGGTTGGAATTACAGAATTTCAATCAGGTGGAAGAATCTCTTCTCAGCTGCTGATTGTCCTCAGTTCTGCTGTATGAGACCTGATTAAAAGCCCATTGATGAAACATAGCTGACAGGATTCTGTCATGCCATCTTTACAGTTTTTTTTAAATTAATACATTTAAAGAATATTCAGTATTCCACAAAGAGGGTGATTCTGTTAGCCTTGAAAGTGATGTTGAAAGAGTTAGCTGTAAAAGCATGACTGTATGTTATCCATTCCCAAATAGTTCCTAAAAACAACGATAGCAGGAACATTTTATTCCAAGTTTGGAACTAAAGGAGGAGGTTTTGATGAAACAGAGAAAGGCACAGTAAGAGTTTTTAGCTTACTTTGCTAAGTGAGGATGTTCTGCAAAATATGTGCATGCCATACTTCTGAAAAGTGATGTTGATAATCTTATACTCTCAATATGTTTTTGAACTACAACTCCCGAGCTGAATGTTCAGCTGAACAACTGCATTCAAATCTTTAGTTCAGTATTTTATCTCTTGCACTTATTTCCTAGCATGACACTGAATCATCCTGCCTAATTTATCTTATTTCTGACATACATAATTTTAAGGAGGCTGGTCTGAATGGTCTGAATGGAGTTTATGCAATGAAGATAGCATCCAGTATCGTAGCCGTTTCTGTGAAATCCACAGCCCAGGATCTGTTCAATGTGCAGGGAATAGCACACAGTACCAAGAATGTCTGTATAATGAGATCCCTGGTAGGTAGAATTTCATGTTTCAGTACACTAGAGAGGCAAAAATCTGACTAACTGATTAAATGTTAAGGAGAGCTTCCTATATGGAAAAAAAAAGTGGTTGCTACTTTTAATATCAATAGGATGATGTGTACTGGTGGGTTTATTGAATGAATGATTTCTTTTTTTAATGTTTCATAAGCTTATATTCATAAGAAGATGGCATTTGGCAAAGTAAATGCCAAATAATATTTGTATAATATTATACAAATTAATACATGATTATAGAAGGTAGGTACAAAAGAAATAATTTAGGAATAATCTGTACTTTGCAGGAGTATAATCATATTACAGGTGGTTATGATGAGTTTTAGCCATGCTTGATTAAACCATTTTCAAGAAGTTACTTGTCTCATTACAACTAACATCTATTTTATTTAGCGTATGGCTAAAATGTTAAAAAGCGCATCAGTTACATTCTTAATGAGCAAATATGAAACTATTTTCTCTATTTACAAATTCAAAAGTAGACTATATATTTATGTTTATATGGGTGGGAGGGATCCTATGATTCATAAATACAAGATATTCTGCACTCCCAAAAAAAATTAAGTTTGCATTAAAATAAGCTGAACTTGGATGAATCAGATCAGTGGCTAGCAGAGGATAAGACATATGACAGGTAACATGAAAGTAAATGGTTAAAATACTGACATATCTTTATTCATTGCTTTGTCTGGTGCAGCTAATTCCAATACCATTATTCTTCAGTTAAAAAAATCTGAAATAAATGATGTCAGATAAAACATAATAAAGGGTGGATTAGAGTGTTTTAACAGTTTTATTTATATAGCAATAGCAACAGCACTTAGACTTATATACTGCTTCACAGTGCTTTACAGCCCTCTCTAAGCGGTTTACAGAGTCAGCATATTGCCCCCAACAAGCTGGGTCCTCATCTTTGAAAGTTTTAAATATTGAAAGTCACCCAGGATCAACTATGCATGACTTGGGTGGCTGTATAAATTTATTTAATGAATAGCTAGATGGTTTGGAAAAACATAATATGTGTGCTATATTATCCACTTGTGGTATTCAGAGGTTTTGTAAATGCAACTTGAATTGTACTACTCATTTCTTCAAGTTTTTTATATATACGTGTCCATGATTTTTGCACAGGTCTTTCTACAACAGAATACTGTTGCATTTGACTAATTCTCAATCTGATCCACATTTCTGTAATAACAGGAAGCATGTTCTTTTCAGGAAGGGTGGGGTGGTGGGGTTTTTTTTGGGGGGGGGGGGGGGTTGGATATTTCATTCTGTATTGTTCACCAGATCTCTGAAAGAGCTACTTGTTTGCAGCTGAAATTAACTTGCCATGTAATGAGCAAAATTGTTTTAATTGCCTGTACACAGATGACAAAAGTGACATTTCCCCCTCCCTTTTTTTTCATTTTGTTTAGTAATCCTGCCAGCATCAAGCATTGATGAGAGCACGAACTGTGGAGGTAGAGTACAGCTAACTATAGATCTTGCATTTATCTTAACATGACTACTCTTTTCTGGGATGCATCAACCAAACCATTAATCTGTGTGATTCACATCCTGTTGATATCCCTAATTCCACTCAAGTCTCCTTGTCAGAGTTGGAGAGGGAAAGTTTTTTTATATGGACGTGAAATTCTCAGAATAATTAATTACTAGGGAAATCAGAAACCTTTCTGGTGTAACTCCCTTTTCATTGAGCTAGAAAAAGATCCCGTGTTTTCCTTAGTACTCTCTTAATTGTAGAGTTATCACTGGGTGTCTCTACAAGCAAATTATTTCTGTTCTCCAGTTCAGGTAAAACTTTGACTTTTAGGAGAATCGTTAAAACAATTATTCCTTTAATTAGCAAATCTGAGGTCAATTCTATAATACTTATTTTTATAAAACAAGGCATGTTTTATTTAGAAATTCACATTAACTTAGTTCAATCAATCAATCAATCAATCAATTCAATTAATTCAATCAATTCACTTAGTTATAAATTGTTAGTGACATAAAAGTGAGTAAGTTTAAATACACTCAACCATTCAGAACCCCTCCCATGCATATTCTATTATCAAATTTATAAACATGTATTTACCACCTATCTTGTGGTTCAAGGCTCTACTCCTTTTAAGAAATGCCCATGTTTTCTGAAGAAAGAACTTGATTGAAGAAATTGATTCCTCTTACATTTTTTGCCATCTTCCATTGTAGAAAGCCCCCAAAATAGCTCCAGTTTTTTTTTTTTTTTTGTTTTTTTTTTGGAGTGGTAAAGTATTTAGCAGATGGGGGGAAAATAGTCTGCTAGGAAATTGGGCACCATGCTTACCCATGCAATGTCATCAGCTGCTCTTCATGGGATGCCAGAGGTGTTGTCAGCTGGAAGCAGTCGTATGTTCCTTTCCAAAAGCCTCAGGGGATGAGGAAGCTTTGGGTCAACCCATATAAGCAGGCAAAGCAGAGGAGGAGTAATTGGACGCAACAGCCGTGATGCTTGAGCAACAAGAATGGCAGGGAGTCTTCTCTGGCCTGCAAGGTTGAAGTTTTTTGCTTCGATTTTCCTTTCGTATAACTTTTAAATCTGCCTTGTGTTTTAAATATTCTTTTTACATTAGCCTTTGATCTACTTAGATTGCTTAGCACGGTATTAAACCTGTTACTGACAACTGTAAAAATGCTAGTTTCTAGGATGTGAGAAGCTGTGGGCATCAGGGTAGTCGATATAATCAGAATGCAATAATTTTTTCAGCTGCCTATAACAGTGGGCCCTTCTTTATCAAGATAAGAAACATCGTTAAAAATCTACCTATAAATCCCAGGGGTACCAAGGCAAGACAGCCTGTGTAAGATCTGGGTTGCCTTAAAAAGTTGCCAGTCACTAAGTTTTATCTTCAAAGTTCAGGAAAAGGCATTTTCCTTGTGCAGAATCATTACTCTGTTCTCTGTAGTTACTTGTAAGTTATGACCAAAGATTTTGAAAAGGGCAGAAGAAAAATTGGCTTTTTATGTTTCCCAGCATAATCAGCTGCAAATATTGATGGCTCTTTTCCCTCTGATTTTATTTTAGATGAAAATTGCTTTTTAATGCCTGTGGTATTTCGTGACTGGTATCAGGAAAAAAAAAATCTGCTTATCTACAAACAACAAACTTTATTTGGTCCTTTTAAAGTTCTGTCCATTGTTAGATTCATGAGATATATTTGCTCAATCCTTTCAGATCAATTTAATAAGCAATTTCTTTCTCCAGAAGAATATTTAAGTTGTAGATCTGAGATGGGGGCTGAAAATTTTCAGTTATCTCAAAAAAATATAATATCCATGAGAAGTGCAGAGGCATAAAACTATTGCATTTTTGTAGTTACAATGCCCTTGAAAATATTTATAATATTGTGTGTTTCTTTGCTGATGCTATAACAGAGGGTAGAATCTGACTATGAAAGAAAAAGAAGACCTTCACATACCACAAAAATTTCCACATGAAAAAGTATTGTTCTTTTTGGAATTTCTACTGCACATTTTAAAATTGATTTTTTTCTGTGAGGGGATGTTGAAGGGATGTTTGTTGCTCAGAATGTTTGGTATTCTGCAATTCCATATGTTCTTCGACTCTTCACACAAGGACAATCTTACCGTTTAATAAAAGTGCATTTTTCTTTTTACTTTCAACAAAATGACTCTTGAAGGTTACACAATGTATTAGGACTGTAATTGGCAGGAACAGTTTTAGGGGCACCAAAAAAACCACCTTGATCCCAGCTCTTCCCCACCACAGTCACACTTCTCAGCAAGTCTCTTAGACACAACTTAGACACATATATTCAAACTATCCTATATGAGGGAACAAAGCAATAGAAAATAACCAAATGAGCCAAAGTCAGGAGACAAGCTTTTAAAGTAAAGGAAGGATATATGTATGTATGTATGTCTTTGAATCAACATTGATGCCTGTCTGGATAAGTTCCTGTAGTTTCCTTGGCAAGATTTAGGAAGGTGTTTGCCATGACCTCCTTCCTAGGATTGAGAGGGAAATTAGCCTAAAGTCACCCAGCTGGCTTCATGCCTAAAATAGAATTAGAAGTTCCAATCTCCCAATTTCTTTCTAAACCTCTCACCAATTGGCTCTCTAAATAGAGGAAGGCAGCATGGAGAATCAGTGACCGACCTAGGGTCAATTATCCATAAATTCATACACACACACAAAAAAAACATATAATGCATAAGCAAGGAACAGGCCAGAGTTCAGATTTTGAGACTTTGGCATCCTGATGAAAATGGCATCTTTTAACTCCTTGGATTATTCCTAACCCTGCTAGATCAGTAGGAATTCTGATTGATGTTGTTCCAGAGTCATTTGTTGAGATGCAAGTGACATTAATACAACTGGGCTAAATAAATAAATAAATCACCAGAGGCCATTGGGGCAGCCCTCCAACTTAAATATCAGGAACCAGCCCCTTTTTATTATCTAGTTTATTGTATTTCCTCCCTGGCATTTTAAACAACCCCAAAGTCTATTTTCCTTTAATGATTACTGAAATGTGCTTTCTGTGACAGGCCCATCCTTTAGATGTGTATTGTTTGTAAACTTCATTTTTTCAACCTGTCAACTTCAGTGTTTAGTTTCGGTTTCAATCAAAGGAGAAAGGAAGACTTTTTTTAAAAAAGCAAGGCATGATCCCATTAACACAGAATTGCAATAGGCAAACTAATAGGAAGGAAGGTGTATACAATGTCCTGGATGTTTTCAGAATTGTGTTTTGCTTGTACCAAGGGAACAGAAAATTATTCTCAGGCCTTCATGCATTCAGTAGCCATCCAAATATCCTTTTTTATGGTTGTCATGTAAGAGTATTTTTTAATCATAAAGGGGACACCTCTTATCCAAAATTTTGCAGATGAAATCATAGAAAAAGAACTGAGGTATCCTCTGTTGCTATGAGAAGATACAAGCTTCACTTAATATGTTTTTGCCATCCAGTTCACTTCTCTATATAAAACTGATTTTAGGGGAATGGTAGGAGGAATATATTGAGCTATATATACATTCAGGCATATATACATAAAATTTAGAGTCTATCTGACACCCTGTCATTCGGTGTGGCTTATAGTGTTTAAAAGCAGGAAACAATAAAAGCTTGGCAACCAATCTACCCCAAGGCCTGGGAAAATAGCCAAGTTTTCAGTGACTTTTTGAACATCAAGAGGGTGAGACCCATATGGATCTCAGAAGGCACGAGGTTCTAAAGAAGGCCTGCTTCCTAGGTCCCAATAAATGGCATTATTTAATCAGGGAAATCTGGAGCACAACTATTCTGTCCGTGATCAGAAACTGTTGGAGATAGGTGGAAGCCCTGAGCCATAAAAGGCTTAAAAGGTGGTACCAGCCCTTGAACTGCATCCAGATGCCATCTGGCATTCAATCAACAATGAGTATGGTAGTACAAATAGCCAAGATAGTAGTGGACAAGCATATTGTGAAAGAAGTGCCAGCATGGTATGAAACCTTATAATATTTTTGTTTACAAATTATAGTACAAATGTTGCAACTTATGGTTGAGAAAGGTGGTGTTTTGCCATGTTTGTGTCACTGATCTTAGCATCCTCTTAATACATTTCTTCCAGGTTTTAGCCTCATCCACCTCATTGCCACAGGACTCTCCTGCTTCTTTGGCTCTAGCCTCTTAACCTTTGTGATCTACGTTTACTGTCAACGGTGCCAGAGACAATCTCAGGAGTCGACCGTTATCCATCCCACCACTCCCAATCATCTTCATTACAAAGGCAACACAACTCCCAAGAATGAAAAGTACACACCTATGGAATTCAAGGTAAGAGACTGCATCCATAGATTGATCTCCTTTAAGTGATACTATTCATTTGCAGCAGAAATAGATAACCTGTGATCTTCCAGACTTAATAAACTACAATTTCCAGCATTTTCACCATGGATTGTGCTGGTTAGGGCTATTGAGAGTTGAAGTTCTGCAACTGAGGGCCTAGTATACCTATAGCGCTCAGTGGTTCCTAACTCTGCATGTAATTTTCTTGGTTGGTTGTTTGTTTTTTTTTTTTGCAATACACTTGAGTTGAATTTTATAATCGGTAAAATCATATGGCAGACCTATACTAGCTACTGAATCTCCTGATACGTCTTTGTCCAATCAGAACCTACTACATAATTCTTCTGATTCTGTTACTCATTTTACACCTCCTTTTTAGGCATGGCCTGTTTTAGAGAGATTTGTTGTGGCTTCAAAAAGTCTGTTTTCCCACAGAGGATGGCCTTGATTTGGCCCATCACAGTCATAAACATAGCCTTGGTAATATAACTGAGATATATTTCTAAAGGGAAGAGCACTACTGGATATTACCAAGTCTATGTTTATGACCGTGATGATAATTGGATAATAAGTGCAGCCTCCTATTAAAGACTAAAGATTCCGATATTTACTGTGCTTTCTTCCATTTCTTTGTTTTTCTTTAGATAATGCTGTTCCTCTTTTCATTCAAATTTTAATCAGTGTCAGAAAACAGTTTATTTTGTTCAGAGGTACACATTTGGTGAGCATGGGAAACACCATGTTGAAATAACCAAATGAGTTGTTTGTTTGGTAGGCTTATTCATAATAAAATATTCTCTGTTGTGTATGCATTGATTTAGAAACCTCTTTTTTAAATTTTATCTGGAATTTCCCTGATCAAGAAATGATCCTGGGAAGCTAATAAATATTGCAGTATCAATTAACACATAATAAAGTGTCTAGCAACTCCAATCAATAAAGTAGCTTGGGGACTAGGGAAAATACCCTCAAAAGCAACTCATTAACTTGCAGAGATTATGGCAAAGTTTACTATTCTTTGCCTGTAATTAAACAACAAGCAAAGAAGTAAATAGTGAGTAGGTACAAAAAGCAGGATGCACTTAAAACCAATCCCAGTTGAGAGCCTCCTTAGAAAATCATGCTTCTAAATCAGGGATGTTAAACTCGCGGCTTGCAGGCCGGATGCATCACGCACTGGCCACGCCCATGTCTGGTTTAGTGAAGGGGGGGGAAGTCTCAATACGTCACGTTACGACACCGTGACGACGCGACTTTGACAACCCTCTTTTAAATAGTGCTGATAATACAGCAATAACAATAGCATTTAGACTTATATACCACTTCATAATGCTTTACAGCCTTCTTTAAGCATTTTTACAGAATCAGCATAGTAGCCCCAATAATATGGATCTTCATTTTACCGACTTCAGAAGGATGGAAGGCTGAGTTGACCTTAAGCCAGTGAGAATCAAACTGCTAGCAGTCGACAGAATTAGCCTGTAATTCTTCATTTTAACTATGCCAACCATGGCTCCTTCGGCAGATTTTCAAATTTTCAAATTGCATGAAAACAATTTTAAAATAATGTTTAGAGCTGGAAAATAGAATTTGGCATACAGTATCAATCCTTCAGTCCTGTTTGCTTGTGTTTCGAACCCTGTGAATCTTTATTCAGGCTTCCCTTGCCCTATAGGTGCCAGGTTGCCCATGGAAATTCTATCACTGCCAACAAACAAATGGAAAGGAAATACTCAGTTCTACTGCTACATAATTTCATGGATGCATGCATGATCAGGTGGTATGCAGGCCAGGTGCATCAATAATAATTTTAGAATCTGGAAGAACTAACTTTATATTGAAGAGATGGGAGGGAAACTATCCCCCAGCAGAACCTCATTATATCCAGGCTGAAAGTGGAATGTCAGCTCTTTCATTCATGTTTTAGTTCCTTTCTGTGATTTAAGGAGTTACATATTTTCCCTCCATATAGAATGCCTTACTTGTTCCTGTACAGGAAAGGTGTTGCAAGAGGAAGACAACTTCTGTCCCTGCTACTTCCAGCCCAAAAGCAAGATTAAAACCTACCTTAGAAGCTATGAATAATCAGTTTTGTCTATGGGGATCTTGATCGGCCATAGAAGAAAATATAGCATATTGCTTTAGTTCATTTTTAACAGCCTATTTAGAGAAATAATTTACTGCTTCTTCTCTAAATCTTCCAAATGCAAGTGGAGATTTTAAGACCAGACACCTTTTCCATGTCAGACTCACTATGTCTCAGTTGGCTAAGCTCTAAATTGAATAAGAACTTTTCTCCATGATAGGTTATCTTCTTAATGCAGGAAACCATTTACAAGTAGTCTTCAACTTACGATCATGACTGGGACTGGGACTTCTGTTGCTAAGCAAGATGGTTGCTAAGTGAGTCACATCTGAATTTACAATCTTTCCCCCCATGATTGTTGAATGAATCACTGTGCTTAAATTAAGCATGGAGTCATTAAGGAAATCCAACTTTCCCATTGACTGTGCTTGTGGGAAGCCGGCTGGGAAGATTGCAGATAGAGATCATGTGACCTTGGGATGCTCCAATGATAATAAATTCATACCTGTTGCCGAGGGCCTGAATTTTAATCATGTGACTGCAGAGGATGCTATGAGAATCACAAGCACGAGGACCAGTCATAAGTCATTTTTTTTCAGTAATGTCATGTCTTTGAATAAATAAAGCCAAATAAATGGCTATCAATTGAGGTCTATCTGGATGTTAGGACTATGTGCTCCTCTTCCAACTTTTGCTACCATCTGTGGATTTTCTTTTTGTTGCTCTTTAAAATGGGTCTTAACTATACTTTTTTATGGGAAGTCCCTTTGGACAGTTTTCATTAGAAAATAATGTTGAAATAGTTTGAGTACATAAGTAGCATGTTTCATTCAGTTCTGTGCTGCTACCAATAAGCACACCAACTCCTGCATGTAGGAAAATGGCTAAGCTACTTTCTTTGGAGAGGCCACTGTTATATCTACTGATTGATTGTTTACATGCCATCAAGTGATTGTTGATTCATAGCAACCACATAGATAAATGTTTCTTCAGGATGATCTGTTTCTAACTTGATCCTTCAGCTCTTCCAACAGTACATTCATTGCTGTTGGAATGGAGTCCATCCCACTTGCTGCCTCTTCCCGCCTTCTTCCCTTTCTTTCCACTTTTTCCAACATTGGGAGCTTTCTCCAGAGAGCTGGATCTTTGCATAATGTATCCATAGTAGGACAATTTGAGCCTGGTTTTATATCTATATAGATTGGGGGGGAGGGGGGTAAGGAAATCATACTTTTTTTTTCTTTGAGCAAGGGTGATACTCTTAAAGCAATAAAGCCAGAACAAAATGGAAACTGCCAAAAATCTCCACCCCCTAAATTTTAATGCTAGTTCATTGCTTGCTTTATAAAGCAGCTTGAGTACTTTGACAATTCCTGTTTCTGCAATAGGTTTCTAGACGTACTACATATGCCTCACTGAGAATGGGAAGAGCTGAATGTTATTTGGTCTTTGGAGCAATCGTCTTATCCCTGTGAGCTTTTTTGTGAGATACTCTGATTTGTGGGGGAGATAATAGCTTGGTATTTTCAGTTTGCCTTAAGAGGCACAAAGCCCTTTCATAGCCTCCCTTTTTTCTCCTAATCATTAACTATATGTCAAATTGTCCAAGTCATGCAGGCAGGAATTTGTAAAGGGTTATAGGTGGGAAGCTAAGGAAGTTTACCCTGTTGGAATACGAATACCTTGAAATAATAGAAAATACTTGTAGCTCAGGTTTTTGATTTTGAGAGTGGTTTGCTTTCCAAGCTTGTTTCAATTTAGTTTCTGAACTTTTCGTTATGAGATTAGGTAACATCATCAGTGGGGTTTTCTTGTCCTATTCTCCTTAGATTATAAATGTCTTGTGACAAGACATCTCATAAGAAGCATAGGGACAAGAAAATCCTGGTGATGTTATGTAGTCTGGTAATGAAACGTTCAGAAACTAAATTGAAACAAGCTTGGAAAGCAAACCACTGCCAAAATGAATACCTTGAATTTAGGATTCTTCCTGATCATGGTTATCTCAGTAAGCAAGTCTCAAAGACTGATGTATTTTGTGTTTCCTGAATCGTGAATTCAGTGTGGTATATACCAATTAGTATACCGGTTTGGTGTGTAGCAGTTAACTTTTACCAGTTCTAAGCCTAGAAACCAGGAGATTGGGAGTTCTAGTGCTGCCTTAGGCATGAAAACTGGCTAGGTGACCTTCAGCAGTCACTCCCTCTCAGCCCAACTTGCCTCACAAGGTTGTTGTGGAGAAAACAGGAGGAGGAAAGAGTATTAGGTATACTCGGCATCTTGAATTACAAAGTAATAAAGGTGGATTAAAAATCTAATGAATACATACACGAATAAAATAAATATCAATTTGCAAATTCCATTATCATTTGTGGGTACAGCTTCAGTTAAATGACTACAGACGAAGGGCATTATATTGTCATTTCCTGTTTATTGAATTCCTTCCAAAACTTATTATCCATTATTTTTAGGTTACAGTGGCAGAAAATTGTTTGCAAGTTAATGTGGAAACATTTTTATTAAGCACAAGTCAGTTGTGAATTTGGAAAATGTAAATGGTGTCAGACAAAAGAAAATCCCCACTACCCATCCTGTTTCTCTTTCTCTTTCATCTAATTAAATCCATGTTGATTGATGCAGAAAGGCCGTATCCTGTTTGGTTCAGGAACAGCCTCATTAATTGAGTTTCCTGAATTTCTACTGTCCTGAAAATATTTGCTTCTTTCTGTTCCATAATCAAAGGGAGTCCCTTAGACACCACTAAATGTTATTTAACGCCAGGATGGTGCTGAAGGCTATGCTGAAGTTTTTGAAGATGATCCACTGGATTTTGTCTTCTACCATAGGTGCATAGACTGAGAGTAAAATATCATGGGTTATAGGAATGGGAGGGAAAATTCCA